TCCTCCAAGGATTGCCATAACGACCGGTCTTGCGCTGCTCGCCTTCAAGTTCTTCCTGCAACCTTCACCAGATCGTCGGTCCACCTAGTGGGGGGCTAGCCCACACTACGTCTTCCGACCCGTGGTCACCACTCGAGAAAAACGATCTCTCTAAATAATTTTTTGGTTGAATATGATGAATAGCCATTAAAAATTGGCAAAGAAAATCTACACTTTTTGGGAAGTATGCGAAAGTGTACAAACAGCGGACTTAATCCAAATACTATCTTTTACTAATTCAGGCTTTATTCTACGAGTATGTTCGATGCAAAACACTATAGATTTAAAACAGCAAGATCATCAAACAATTTCTAAGGGGATAAAAGTTTCATTCACCTACTTTATTGCACCATTAACAGACAAGCCACCGTATTGTTCAACATAAAAATCTACCTCAACCCACTACAGGCATAAAAAGCCAACAGAACGTTCTGACACACCGTAAAGTGAATAATGAAGACAGTAAAGCTAAAATCCACCGGTAGTTTCAATATTTCAGTACAATCACTGAGGTCTGAGTTATTCATGGCACGACGAGCTTGTACCAGTGTTGAGGAAAGAATTATGGGGATACACCTCTAAATTATAGATGATGAATTACTAGAGAATTGGCTGAAGAAGATGCAGCTGGTTTTGATAATACCTAGACACTAATATTGGCATAATTATCTTTTACTTGAACCTTTCACACAAGTCACGGATCCAGGTGCAATATAATTAACTTTCAGATAATTTTAATCTGATAATAGCTTCATTTGGATTATTACATCGGATATTTACGTTTTGTGGTGTTATGAAATAGACAGAATAGAGAATATGCAAATGGAGGTAATCCTTTATACCCCAGTGATAGAGAGTTAGACTCTCTCAAATCGCAGAGTTTATGGGTTTTTTAAAACAGTGGAAAGTCACTTTATTTTGGTACATGTACAAAAAACATTATTGATTCTAGTTTGGTCAGAACATTGGCATTGCAAAATTATACTACTATTAGATCTACGCTGACCAATGACAAAGGTCCGGTTCTGGTAACAACATAAATTCACCGATAATTTCAACGTTTCAGTGCCAAAATTACTGTTAAACTGGTTCAAACCGCAAACCGTACACCACAGCACCTCCACACTCATATTTCTAACCACAAAAACGGGCCACCCTATGTAGAGCCTTGTCAACTGTTTGGCGTTCCTCTTTGTCGTTCAATTCTGCCCTTCTTCAAGGGGCAGGGGGGTTCAAGGTACCCTGGTCGGCCATTTAGGCTTTCAGGTCAGCGTTATGAGTCGCGAACGAGACTTTTTGTGGGGAAGCAAACAGAATAAGGGTATGAACTCACGGTGACGCCGCTTTCATACGATTGAGGGTACGCTTGCGATGTGGAAATTTATGCAGATTAACCTCACAATGAGGGTACAGATAGGTAGGTTTTTTATAGCTTTCACAAGGATACCGTTTTAAATAAATTCACGATTTCTATTCTATAACTATATGATTACGTGTTATGTCATAAACAGATTACCGCAGCACGAATTTTCACTGTTGCAGTATTTTATGTCACACAGACATATCAAATGGCAATGAGTATGTTATTAAAATAAGTATTTTAGGTAATTAATGGTGACAAAATTTTTCATCTTTCACCCATACCTAACCCATAGACGATAACGAAATGGCCATGCCACATATTTTGTCTGAGGTGTAGAGTTTGTGAAATCAGGGCGAGTAGAGTTAAAGTCTTGGGTTTACATAAAATCTGATGACATTTTCACGGTGCAAAATTCGCACTGCGAACCATACATGTGGTCTCGTCTTGGTAACATTTGCATGGAAATATTTTGGGTAGGATTGATTTTTCTGAAATCTTATTATGTCACAAAGAGTTATAAAAATATTTGTGTCACTATATCTGACATTTCGGCGGCACATGGCACAAACAAACGATGGGTTCCAGCCCTAAAATCCCGCGGGAAGCCAACATATCGGGTTTTTGCCAAGGGCGGAGCATCATCATTTCTTAACGAACTTATTTGCATGAGTCTGCAGGGATACTTCCAGTAGGGATACCAAGTTACCGGGAAATCCCGGACTTGTCTTAGCAAGATGCTCGGGCAAGGCCAAGAATCCAGGATCCTTTTAATTCATACCCTATTTGCTTGTACTGCAGCATTATGGTAAGGCTGCTATCTTTCTGAGATAATCTGGATTTTTTGGGGGAGGAAGATGACAAAAGTCACTCTAGTGGCTCAAGAAAGAAACCAATTATGTGCTGAAAACCTCAGCCAAACTAATCTCGTAAGTTTTAAACTTTCATGGTCACTACCAGAATAATTATTATTGCCGGGATTGCTACCATGTACCTTAATTTCAATAGTGCCGAAATATCGGAAACTCAAAATTAACTAGGTACATGGTGGCAATTCCGTCAATAATTAATTAATCTCGTAAGTAAATTAAATGTCGCAGGCGAGCTATTACAGGAGCACACAATTTTTGTCTGTTGATTCAGTCAGATATATGATGTCCGGGAATAAAACTAAATAAACCCAAAATTTATGTCCGATGTTGTGTCCGATGCTTGAGGTTTTTGTCCGACGATGACAATTCAAAGATGGCCGCCCTACTTCGACCGAATAAGGCTATTTATTTATCTTATTTTCAGCACGGATTGCTTTTAGGATATGTGGGGGCTGACGTACTTTTGTATGGGTTGTCAGTTTAGTCCCATGGGACAGTAATTTTTGCTGTAACTTCACGAAGAATTCCAAAAAAGTAGCCTAACTAATTTGAATTAAAGCCATTGTTTGTCGTACCTTTGACGTTCTTAATAATAAAAGAATCTGTTTTTGATAGCCAGTTGGCGCTGTTCTTACTTAGCCCGTGGTACGAAAGTATTTTTCTGGTATAATGTGTGTAACTGACATAACTTTTATACCCTGACTTGGCAAACCTTGGGCAGTCATAGGTAAGTATGTAAATAGAGTCTTTAGGTCACATAAATTTGACATTGTAAGGAATGGAAAAATTGTAATGGAACAATTTAAGCAGTCTTATCGTTTTCTAGAAGAAAATACTCAAAATCAAAATCAAAGTTGTAATTGCTCCATGATTTCACGTCAAATCCTATCAAAGGCTTAGAGCTAATTACTGTTAATGCCTAGCGCATGTTTAAGACGCTTTATTAAATTAATTTAAGTAATTATTCCCAAGAGCGCCGCCATATTAAAGCCTTCATAGCAAATATTACTCATAATAAATAACGCAATTAATGCCCTTACGCATATGATGAAGGAGGAGAGGCGTACAGACAGCAAAAAATCTTTAAGTTAAGAAACTGTCATAACAGCTGCAATTTAATTTTGAACAGGTAGTTTTTGTTTAGAATATGGTAACGCCAAAAAAACGTAAGTAAGGTTGAAATCTCGTTGAGTATAATGATAATGTTGTGATCATGAAAATACATCATGAGCACGACGTGTATATTCCTGATATTATCAGTACGTGTTCACCCGTATTCACAAACGATGCTTTCTTAAGTGAAGCAGCAAATCGCACGCACAGCGTTGAATAGAGCTCTGTGATGGGTTCGTGTGTCACCCTGTGCGTCCACGCGCATTGTGAGACCATTATGTATTTTATTATAAGTATGTACTATAAATAAAGTCATTAAAAATAAAGTCATCAAATATAATAATTTGGTAATTAATGCATGAACTTACCGATGTTTAGAGATGGAACTGCTTAATCTGTAACAAAAAGTGTTTGTTTAATCATTCCATGTTTTCTGCTAACTAACACAATATGAACATACCATTTATTTGCGTATTTAATGCCCGAACATATTTTCAATTAAGGCCAGGATCTAATTAAATCGAGAAAGGAGTTGTTTTCAGAAGTTCGTCGGTGCGTCGCCATATATGAGCCGACCAGCTCACTTCAAACCTCCACCCCCCCCATCTGCCCCTTAAAATCAGACCCTCTAGGGGAAGTTCCGCATTTTCCCCGGGGTCAACTTGCCTGGTTTTAAGGACCACGGTGAGAATACAAACGACCCCACTTAAAAGTTTAACGCGTTCTGTAAATTTCTATTAGCATTTTATGGTTTTACATTTTAAACAGATGTTTGGTTCCTCGATGCCTCTACATCGACATTCGATTACGGGGAATTGGGGTAATAGCAACCATTACTGTCCCCGATTGGGTAAATGGACCCATTGGAACGCAGAGCCAAAGTTTTAATAGCATCGAGAATTTAGTTGTAAAAGAAAATGCGTGTGGGGCTAGTACTATATTTGGGCTAGTTACCTTATACAACTTGGCACTACTTTCAAAATTGTCGGAGAACTATTCGCTGGATGTGGAAACTAAGTTTTGTAATTTAGTTTTAGTGGTTCTCATTTATGAGGTTTGTTGCAATAATGCAAAACATGATACCTAGGTATTAAATTAGTTTATAAGCTATAACCATATCTAAAATACACTTGTTGTATTTAATTTTGCTATACTGTGTGACAATATTTAGGGATGAGTTGCACCATCTTATTTTAAGTTTAACAAACATAAAAAATATGTAAAATTCCGTACAAAAAGCACCGCTTATTGTCAATGTCACGGTTAAAAAAAGGTGGTGCAACTCAGCCTAATTTGTAAGATAACAATTTTTCTTTAATAATTTAAATTATTTACTGTACACATTTACACTGGCTATTTTATCAGTTTGAAAGTATAATTTATTTATTTCATGAGATACAGTATTAAACACAATAATATTATGTTCTTCGAATCTCATGACATCATACCTTATTGTCTCAATACGAGAATTCTCACAGTCATGTTTATTTCTCGATTCACAGATACTGACTTGTCTTGCCATTGAAAATGCGTTATTTTGTAAATAATCCACAATGGCCGCCTTCTTTCAGAAATGTGAAAACACGAAAACATTTGCATCCCAGATACAGACCGGCATGGACATGAAGACGTGGTCAGTTCTACTGGTGGTGATTCTTCCTGTGATGACCGTAAGTTTATGGAATTTATTTCGTTTTAACTAAATGCTTTCTACTGCTAGACAAATGCCTCCACAACGGATTTCCATAGTGATCGGTTCTGCGATGCACGCATTTTATTATTTATTTTTGTTGTTTATCCAGATAAATTACGGTATTAAATGATAATCATAAGTCAAGACGTTAAGATGCCTGTAATTGCGAACTTAACGTTCCTATATTGAGAACAATCGCAGACCTCAATCTAGCTTTAGAGTAGCTATTGATTTTTTAAGATTAAGCTCTTGTGGGCTGTGACGGCTAGGAATGGGAAGACTAAGCATACTTAGTTCTGATGAACTATTTGATGCTAAAACCATTTATTCTAAAATTGTCATATTAGTAGTACTTTCAGTATTTTCCTGTAATTTTACTCCATGTAATTTAAAGCCTTAATTAATAACTACTTTATATACACAACACAGAATATGTCTTGGTGAAATATAAATCATTATTTTTACAGGCAGTATGGAAGCCATCTCAAGAAGAGAGAAGAGAAGGATTAAGAAGGGGAGTACACTATCACACCAAGAGGCACATGCTGCCAATTGGTGGTAGCGAGCCAAAGAAGCGACACACCACGCAGAAACCTCCGCAACTGAGGAAAAAGGTAGATACTAACCAAATATTATACTTATTGGGGTTCCTACTCTATGTATGTATGCGTCTGTTTTCTGCCAGTCTCTGTCAGTGGGTTGTATGTATCTCATGCACTGTAATTTTTAAAGGGCGGGAGGCTACTTACTACAGCCTGATGATCTTTTGGGCTTGTTGGGATAACCATCAGTTAGTGTCCTAGGGCGTCTGAAATGCTGTTATATCTCTGGATATTATTTTAGTGGCAGATTAATATCCTAGACCTACAACATAACTTGAAATCCATACTATGTCTCTTTTAAGTTTATAATTATTTTTCAAAGAATTTGTATTGAATTGATGCTCCTAGCTAAATCTGTATCTGAAAAGATAGCAAATTGGGACTTAGGAGCAAGAAAATAATATTGCTTTCGATAATTTCGCGAACATATTATTATTGAAACAAAATACGAAATTCCCAAAATTCTCAGAACAAGTCACTTAATAAAGCCTATTGATGTTTACTCAAAGACTTATTCACTACACAATGAGCAAATGTCGACATTCATTTATGGTTCGATAAGTTATTACACCAAGTATTTGAAATGTTAAGTACGAGGCTTATGTTCATTCGACTTCATTTTAACATTTAATTTGTGTCGGCCATTATTACCGTGTCGTCTATTATTGCATAGGATAATGCTCTCAGTTCACTAACTTAGGAAATTCAATAAAATCAAAATCAAAATCAAAANTCTATTTGTCTAAATTTTAATGGGCTATTGCAAACATCAACACAACCCTCGAGAAGAGACATTGCCTGATATGAACATGAATTAAGATTGCTTGTTGTTATGATTGGTACATTTGAGAAGTAACCTTCGAATGCGTTTGCTACCTTATCATTGCATTTAATATACTTATTATCAATTTTTAATGCGAATGTGTCATCCCGAGATATAATTCTACAAGTTTCTTTATTAATACAATTCCAAGTAGCTTTAATTTTGTTGCCAGAGTTTTTAATTTTGTCACGTATGTAAATAGATTTTGCCATAGTACAAACTTGTTTAAAAACTTTTGAGTATTTTTTTACATATTCTATAAAGTCCGGGTCGCTACTATAGGCTTTTCTACCATATAATTCAAACATTTTTTTCCTACTAATATAAATACCTACTGTAGCCCAGTCACTGAATTTAGTTTTATTGTCTTTAATAATAATTGTTTTCTTAGGAAAAATTTTATTGAACTCATTTTTAATTAATTCAAATAATTGCTCATATAAAATATTTATACTACAGTTAAAGTAATGCAAAAGTGGGACCTTATTAGATAGTTGAGATTTAAATTTGTCTTTCTGGGATGCAGTGACTGGTCTATATTCTATTTCCTTGCTCGATGGCACAAAATGGTGTTGAAATACTTTATAAAGCTACATCATATTTTATGTAAATCAAATTCTTATCTCCAGGCTGCGAGAGATCTATTTTACTCTATTTAACTCATCACATCACTAATTTTAAAAACGTCTTTTAGCCTAATATTAAACTTAGAGTGCAGTACCCTCTCCTGTGAGCATTTATCTTACGTAAACTTAAGTAAAAGTATAAAAAATAATCCTCCGTACCTCCTCCGACTGCGCCAGAGGAAGAGTCATATTTACCTTATTACCTTACCTTATTATGACCTTTCTTCTGGCGCAGTCGAGTGAAGAGATCATTATTTGCTTACTGTACCAGTAATTCTTCTTCTCCAGCCCTCAGGTCACTTAAAACCGCTGGATGAAGAAGACATGGAAAACGACGAAGTCGTCTCAGTCGCCGTTGGTCCTCCGCCTCTCAGACCTAAATACGACAAGATCCATTGGAAGCACTCACCAAAGCAAAACACCACCGCACCTCCAGCCAACTCCTCAGCCACAGATCTTGTTAGAAATGTCTTAACGCAATTGGGACGCGAGTTCTTGACGCACCAAGTGAGCGAGGATTTTGTGTTTGGGCAATACGTTGGGCATGCAATGAAGAATCTTACCAACGAACAGAGGCTTAGCATGCAGCATGAAGTGCTGGAGCTGATTGTGAAGTATCAGAAACTGAATCGAGGAGACGTGAAGGTAGACGATACAACGGATAAAGCAGAGAAAAGCTTCGTTCCAATGCTGAAGGATATGAAGACGGAGAAGAGAGCGGCGATCAATGAGACCGATGACAATTGGCCAGACTTTTCGAATCTGGCTAAGATTGTAGGGTAGTGTCAATTTTGATGTGAAGACATTAGAAATAAGTTTTGTAGTTGTTTAGTCGGATATTTTAGGTACTAGCGATTTTTTCTACTTAATTTATAATTATGTTTTCTGTAAATACAACTAGAATGGTTACTTATAAAGCAAGACTATCTTTTTTCTTTTGTAAATACCTAGGTATATAAGTACTCGCGGGTTGTAATGTAAGTTGTCAGTATTTGCTTTTTAAATTAAATGTATTTTTATCAATTTCATTCTTTTATTTTGCTGAATAATATTCCGTTGTCTTAGGGTACAAAAGCAATAAAATTACAAACTTGCTTTGAATTTTACAATGTTATTCAAACTCAGAGGCTGCGACGAAATCACTTTAAATGTAAAATTCAAATAAACAAAACTGAATATATTTTCATGATGTAACTTTATTGCAATCACAAGTGCCTTAACTTGATTTCGTATCACAATTTCCAAGCACTTCACCGAAATTTAATATTTTATAATTATAAAACTTTGACCGTAAACATTTATACAGACAATAAAATAAAGTACTCTATATTACCGCCCGTTTTATCTCTAGTGCTAGTGTTGACGAGAGATTAGTTTATCGATAGCTTAGGTAACTCTTAAAATCATAATATCGAAGGACTATGAAAGTTTAATAAGATTTAAAGTCTGCTTGTGACCACGGCTGCAGCATCGCAGCCGAAACGTCAAGCCGTGAGTACGTAATGTAACTCATTTAAACGTCGCGTTAAGACCCGTGTCTTACTATGAAAGTTGTTAAGAACTTAAATGAGTAGAGTTTCGTCAGTCATTATTAAGAAGATAGTTACCAAAATGCCCTTGCAAAATCTTATTAATTGTAGTAAATACCTAAACAGAAGTATAAAATAAATATCTGCTATTGAAAGTTATCGAGAGTACACTATGGATATTATCTAGTCTAGCCGAAGCTAGATTTATAATAAACCTTTGATTAAATTCTCATCTTCTTCTTCATCACTTTTCTTATATTTCAAACTTAATGGGTTATTTTGTGGTCACTTAGCAATATGGCTTTCAAGTCAACTATCGATATCACGACCCTCGATAGCTGCACATCACTGCCTGGTACATTTTGGTACAATTTCAAATTTCTCCGGTGAAATTTACTGTTCATTTTATGCGCCTTTGTCGTCGGCGCCATGATTTATTTTAGAGTTAGTTGGGTTTCTAAGCCACACGGAGAATCTATGGTTGTGAAAATTCTTATTTAGTGACTTGGGGTGTGATATTAAATTCTAATGATGTGGAAATGCAATTTTGGAAAGTTTTCTTCTTCTATTATCGTCATTTTGTATTGATCTAAATATGAGAACAATTAACTAAGTAAATAAATAAAACTGAAATTCAATCAGAGTTTAACCGTTTAATTAGGAATTCATTTCTAAAGTCCTTTTTAAGATCTAAATTGATATGACTTAAGTTTTTTACCTGACTGCACCAGAAGGAGGGTTATGTTTTTTCCATCGTGGGCATGTTCAAACATAACTACCTAACTACTTGTTTTACAGTCCGCACCAGCTGACTCTCTACATTTTTTGAGTGAACATTGAATAACAATATCAAAGTTTTTAATTTTTCAATACTAATCTATCTATCTATATATGTATATCTAAATAAATAAAAATGAATTGATGTTCGTTAGTCTGATTAAAACGCGAGAACGGCTGGGCAGATTGAGCTGATTTTGGTGTTAAAATGTTTGTCGTAGTCCAGGGTATGTCTAAACGGTGAGCAAATAAGGAAAGATTTGCTTATTTATTGCATTTAAGGCGGAACAGAGTTCGCTGGATAAGCTAGTTAAAAATAGTGTTATTTATATCCTCAACCTACGAACAGTCTCGCAAATTACCGAATCGTTACTTTCTGCTAAGCTGAGCAAAACGCCGTAATTGGATTTACTGCCTTGTACAAGGTTATAAGCTAAAATAATTCACGACGACGCAAAAATGTTTTAATAAACACCCGACCTAGTGGTTTACTTAGTAAGTTGTGGGATCGAATTCCATTGGGGGCAAATGTAAGAGTACCTAATAAATTGGGATTAATTTTATTGTGGTATCTCCATTTTTGAACAACAAAAATTAAGCTGGTGCTTGTAACTGTGTAAACATTATATTAAATAACATCATCATCATCGTTCGTTCATTCGTTTCAGCCAAATGACGTCCACTGCTGGACAAAAGCCTCCCCCAAGGTTTTCCACAATGAACGGTCTTGCGCTGCCCGCATTTACCTTTACCAGATCGTCGGTCCACCTAGTAGGAGGTCTGCCCACGCTACGTCTTCCAGCCCGTGGTCGCCACTCGAGAACTTTTCTGCCCCAACGGCAGTTTCACTGCGTGATCGAATCAGAAATGAGGAGATCCGCAGGAGAACCAAAGTGACCGGCATAGTCTGTTATTGTTTCACTGTATGTTTTTCGAAAAAAATAAAATGAATAAAATAGCTCGCAGAATTGCTGCAATCAAGTGGCAGTGGGCGGGACACATAGCTCGTAGAGACGTAAATACATCATTATCATCAGGTGATTTGATCTGTATTGCAGAAGCATGTGGCAGTAGGCGGGACACATAGTCGTTGGGCAGAAAAGTTCTCGAGTGGTGACCACCGGCCGGAAGACTTGGTGTAGGCAGGGGATGTAATGTACCTAAATGAGGGCAGTGTAGGACCGGTCGTTATGGAAATCGTTGGAGGAGGCATTTGTCCAGTTGTCCAGCAGTTGACGTCATTTGGTTGAAAAGAAAGAACGGACGATTTAAAACAAAAATCACTAATGAATTACGTCAGCAGTAAATTAATTCTACTTAAATTGTTTTACCATTCCGACGAAATGTAGACGCTGAGAAAAATTCACTACATTTACCTTTGATTATAACTCCAAATAAAAATCAGCCCGTATTTTTCTCCGAACCCATTTTAATCATCCGAAATCTAAACTCCATTTATCTCGGATCTAACCCTCGCAACGACAGTCTTCATTACACCTTTTACTACTTCTGAGTTTACGATACTCGCTCAAGCAATGTCTTAAATCTTAACGAAGTAAATCTAAAGTAATTAAAGGGGCGTGCGGATGAACCTGAGATCGGTTTAAGGATAAAGACAAAGATTGAACTTGCTGAAGTAGGTCGAGAGTGTAAGTATGAAGAATGTACCTACTGATTAGAGGTGAGTACCTCTAATCAGTCTAGAATCACATTCAGTCCTAGTTCATCCCTCAAAAGTGTTTTCATTATCTTATCTCTCCCAATCTGTAAGTTCTGTAATTATTATTGAACTAACAATGTAAATAAAGTTCTAAACGGGACTATTCCCACCGCTGTAACGCCTGTGTAACCAGGCAGAATCTACAGCTTGACCGCCAATAAAAACCCTACCAATGATGGTCAAGTTTGTCCCGGGGGAAAGATAAACTGTCATTGGACCCGCAATGAAATTAATCAGAAGAACAAGAGAAATTCGAAAATAGTTCTTACTACAGTATACTTTTTAAATTACAGGTTCTTCAGAACTGTGACAGTGAGTAGATCATTTCTTATTTCTGGCAAAGGCCAGAATGATAGGTGGAGAATGGGATGTATCGGAGGTATTAATGCCTTAATGTAATGCACAGTCTAGTCATCATTTAAAATTTTCACAAGAAAAATAAAACATTCACAGAATAAATTACGTCAAAAGTTAACACCGACCACGGTTCTGACGGAAAACACTTTTTTCCGTCTAAAAAATGCTCTTAATCATAGTTTAATTACGCGGCCGTGTTTAATAATTGCAGAACTAAATTAAGGCGATAATTTAAGAGCCAAGTCGACAAAAAACTTGCAAACCGCCTCGCCTGTTTCTGCTACAGTAAATTAAAACATTGTTAAGGGTGGTGCATACTGGACTACAGGCTAAACCGCAAAGGGTGAGCTTTTTATTGTCCTGTAAAATTATTTAGTCACATTTTGATTTTTGAGGCCACTCTGATTTTGTAATTAAAGAAGACTAACGCCCGTATTCACAAACATTACTATGAGGTCTCACAGTGCGCTTGGACGCACAGAGTGACTAACGAACCAATCACAGAGTTCTACTCAACGCTGTGCGTTCCATTTGCTGCTTAACTTAAGCAAGCATCGTTTGTGAATACGGGCGTTATTTGCCAAAACACTTTGCAATTTTTTTATAACCTCACTTTTTTGAGAATTTAATAAGTACCTAGTTGAATTTACTAAAAGATGAGGGTAGGCTATCAGATCTGATCTACTGTATTTCAGGAATCAATCAAGCAAGTTTAGTGTAAAATCAATAATATTGCCGTTACAAGTACCATAACAATGACTTTCTCCTAATGTAAAACTGTAAATCCGCATGTCATTGAAATAAACTATTTTATTATTTATTTATTTTATATCGATTTATTTATAGATTCTGGCATCAGTTTGCTAAATATCCAACTGATGTAGATGCCGATTTAAAACTTGGGAAACTCGCTCTAAAGTGTCACAGATTCAAGCTCCAACTGGGGCAGTTGATTTTCTCAAGAACCTTTTTTTTTCTTGAATAATATCACCATGTGTCCTTTGCTTTATAAACAATGAACTGGAAGTAAATGTCCGCGTTAGCAGCGACAGCGACTCGAGCTGCAAGTAATGACTCAAGCCATATTGCTGTAAGTGCTCTAGACGTAATTATGTTTGTTAAAACAGTACAGATACACTAGCAAGCTGTGAGCATTGTACTTCTTTGTGAATAACTTCGTTTGAGTCAAAGAATGATGTCGATTGCTAGACAAAGGCCTCGCCCAAGGATTTATATAACGATTGGTCCTGCGCTGCCCGCATCCAGGTGCTTTCCGCGACCTTCACCAGATCGTCGGTGCACCTAAACAGTACCTCTTGCGGCCCGTGAAGATGACGTGATGTTAAATTGGTGGGTTTTAGAATGGAGATCACATTATCATGAACCAACGACCCATGAGGAACGTATCAACTCAAAAGTAACAGGAAAAGAAAGCAGCAGCATTTTTCAGTCTAATCGTTTTATAAACGCTAAAATTTGCATAAAATTCACACACAACCTCTAAAGAACCCTCAAAAACCAAAAAAACAGCGAACACGCTTGTTTCGCAACATGTAACAAAGCAAACTTCCATAAATAAACTTAATTGTGCGAAAGAGGAAACGCGAGTGCAGCGCCCGCGCCGCGGTGGCGGAACGGCGAACTAACGACGTGATGTGGCGATGCTTTGTTGGCCGGATGCTGGCGCGGAAGCCTAATCCGGTTATGTTTATGGAACAAAGCTTTGGTCTCTGGTCGTTGGGTCTAACGTGTTTTGGAATTAGAATTTAAAAAATGGCTTCTGTGGAGACATTAAAATTACAAAAAAAAAATCGAAAATGAAAATATAAGTAATTTTGCAATTAAATAACAAATATACCTGGTAGAATTTATGTAAAACTGGTTCAATAGGTCTTTTTTCAAATTCAATAGGTTTTTCGTGTAACGTGACAGTAACATACTTAATAAATCACAAAAAAAAAACCATAAATAACTGATTTATGTTTTATTCAGCTTCCCTGCTCATCGGTTCTTACAGTATTGTATAGTGGATGAGTCACTCTGTCACAGAAGTTCACAGAACTGATGAAAGATGGAGTAGGTACTTAAATGGGAGCTCAAGTGGAGACCACGTATTAACAAAAGTAGAGTAAGTAGGACGCCCGCCCACATGTACCGACGATTTCCGCAGTTCGTTCGTTTCAGCCGAAAGACGTCTACTGCTGGACAAAGGCCTCCCCCAAGGATTTCCACAAAGACCGGTCCTGCACCGCTCGCATCCAGGTGCCTCCCGCGACCTTCACCAGATCGTCGGTCCACCTAGTGGGAGGCCTGCCCACGCTACGTCCTCCGGCTCGTGGAGCAGTAAGTATCTGGATTTAGACAACCATCCTTTCCAATTTCCCTTTTAGACAATTATCCCTGAAAAATTACAACTATAAGTATTTCTACCCTAAAACTATTGGACTCCTCCATAGATCAAACGTTACCCTTCATAAAAAGGCGCCATTTGTCAAAGTTTATTGTTTGCGTAATACCTGCTGAAAGATGGGTTACCGAAATTTACGTATCATTTACCCTTTACTCTCAAAGGTATTTATCATAGGAAGGATTAGGTACAGGTATAAATCTTATAAAACGTGGAGGTGAGATTGGAAAGTGAAGTTGTCTTCACTCTCTCTACTTGTGTAGAACTAAACCGGGTGGTATTTTATGCCATTAGGAACGACCATGATTAACGCCCGTATGACGATATACAAACGATACTTGCTTCTGAAGCAGCAAATCGAACGCACAGCGTTGAATAGAGCTCTGTGATTGGTTCGTGTGTCACCCTGTACATCCACGCGCACTGTGAGACCGCATAGTAATGTTTGTAAATACGGGCGTATGTATGGTAGTCTTGTGATTGGTTCAACCAAATCAGTCTTGAATCAAAACTTGGATTTGTATCAAGTTATGCCTATTATGACTAGCTGTGCCGAGACTTCGTACGCGTGAAAACATAGGACTCCCATACAAACGTCCAACCACCGTTTTACCCTCTTAGGGGTAGAGTTTCGTAAAATTCGTTCTTAGCGGATGCCCACGCCTTATAAGGAACCTATCCTGCCAAATTTCAAGTTTGTAGGTGTATTATAGTTTCTGAGATTTCGTGATTAAATCAGTGAGTGGTATTTCGCTCTGAAAAGTTTGTGAAGGCGACAAGTTATATTAATGAGGAAAATATACAAAATTCCACCCTAAAATTGCGACATCATCAAAGTAATTACTCCAAGTGACACCTACGTCTAAAAGAGAGGAAAATCCGTTTAATTACTTTCCGTTCTTGGAACCGCGATAATCACTCCTCAAACTCACTTTGGATTTTTCCATTTCTCTAATTCGAAAGCCATTACAGTTTCTTACCTTTGCCAATCAAGCAAAAACCTCCCTTAAAATTTAAAACCGAAAGTCTAATCTGTCTTTTGATTCTGATTGTTGACCGTACATCAGAAGTGCGATATTTTTCAAACGATAGTGAACCTTGTGAACACTAGGATATGGTCGATAAGGCAAGGAGGCTGATCGTCAGAATATCCGGGACTTCTAATTAGGGACGTTGGCGAAGTTTTATAATTGGACTGTTGGTCTGACCCTCCTCGTTGAGTTTAGGGCACACTGGGCGACGTCAAAATGACGTAGAAATCTAATAACATATTGGTTTCTTAAACTTCCATACTTAAATTAGTTAATAGCTTTTCGGATCTTCAAAGACACACTCAATCATGCTGGTTTAAATTTATTTGTTGGATTATTAAGGGTAGTTAAGAATATGTTAAAACTATTAACAAATTCAGGAATTCCTTGCACGTCCCGTTCCAAAGTTATGACGATTATTTAGGATCACTCACACCGCACACGGGCCGTATGAGTGCTCTTCAAAATAATGACTTTTTATTAATAAATACGTTTTATTTTTCTGTTGGGAAATGTGTGCAAACTGACGAGCGAATTTGTTAAAGAATAAGTGTGACAAAACTTAAAAGCTGAAGGAAGAAATTAACCTTTATTCTTTCCTCCAATATGCCGTGTGAGTGATCCTTACTTTTACCTCTATCTGCTCATTATGTAGTTCGTAGGCAGACTGAGATAGTATCTAAAATTGTTAATTGTTTTTAACAATTATTTGGCATATATTTTGCTTTTATTAAGGTCATAATTTAAGAAATATCAGGTGTTAGCTACGTAAATGGAAAATGCTCAGCTTTATTTATTTTTTATTTTTATTTTATTTGTTTAACAATGTTTCAACAGCATTAAATTGTACATAAATGTGCAGGAAGATACAACTTGAACATAAGCCAATTAAAGAAACACATTCTATTACTAAAACATTTTTAAATAAGTTAACTTTAAACAGGAAACTGTATTCAGATCACATAAAAAGCACAAAAGGCCAAAGCAACAGAATTTTTATCCAAAAACAAGATGGCTAACACCGTCTCTAGGCGGCAGTCCATAGACCACGGCCTAGCACCGGTGTTACCAGATCTGCCGCCAACATTCTCCCCCCCGGTAAGAACCTAGGTTTTTACAAAAGAAACTACGGCGACAGGTCTAGTTTCACAATTTTACGCGCAGCTCGACGTAGGACCNCGCCAACATTCTCCCCCCTGGTAAGAACCTAGGTTCTTACCAAAGAAACTACGGCGACAGGTCTAGTTTCACAATTTTACGCGCAGGTCGACGTAGGACCCCTGCGCTAGTCCGTACGTCAGCCACTCGCACGATCCCGTCTTTCCCAGGGAATACTTTCTCGACCCTACCACGAGGCCAAACACTACGAGGAAGATTTCCGTCAGCAATAAAAACTAAGTCCCCAATATTGAGGTTGCGGTGCTGGTTTGACGATAGGCCTCGAGGTAGTAAGTCGGGAAGGTATTCCTTCACCCAACGAGACCAAAACTGGTCAGCAAGTCTGACTGCCTTCTTCCAATTTTGCCTACTAATGAGGTCCGACTCGGTAGAGGCCGGGGCTGGTAGGCATGCGTTCGCTCCAGACAAAAAATGGTTCGGAGTCAATGCCGGCGCTTCGTCGTGAGACACGGGCACGTGCGTCAGGGGCCTGGCGTTTACCACCTGCTCTACTTCGGCCAGCAGCGTAGCTAGGACTTCTTCTCTAGGTGCCCTTTCCTTAAGTACAACAGCGAGGCCTCGCTTCACACTTCGCACCAACCTCTCCCAAGTGCCGCCCATGAACGGCGACGCCGGCGGTATAAATTCCCATTCGATGTTGTTGGCAGCAGCAAAATTCCGGATGTACGTGTGGTCAATTTCGGCCCAGGCTTCCTTGAGAAGACGGTTGGCACCAACGAAGGCTGTCCCGTTGTCAGAGAGAATTTTGGTGGGACAGCCCCTCCGAGCGATAAATCTGCGGAGGGCCATAATCGCACTGTCCGCTGACAAATTCCCAACAACTTCTAAATGTACGGCCCTTGTGACCAAGCACGTGAAGAGGGCCACATACCGTTTCTCTCGCGATCTTCTGACTGCAACGTCCACCGGGCCGAAATAGTCCAATCCGACGAATGAGAAGGGCCGGTGATGATGTTGTAGTCGTTCCATGGGCAGATCTCCAATCGGTGGAACTGTTGGCGTGGCTTTCCTCATCCGACACACTCGGCACCGCGAGGCGATAGAGCGAACTGCTGGCCGAAGGTGCAGAATGGCAAATCTTTGACGCAGTTCGTTCACCACTGTCTCGTTGTTCCCATGTAAGGCCCAAATGTGATAACGAGAGATGAAGAGTCTGATCGTGGGATGTCGGCCGTCCAGTATAATCGGCTCTTTAGCTTCAATGGCAACTTCTGGAGCGGAACTGATTCTGCCGGTCGCCCTTAACAGGCCATCTTGGCATAACTTGGGAGCCAACTTGTTTAGCCGGCTCCTCTTTGGAATGTCCTTATTTTGCATCAGGCAGTCGAGTTCTTCGGCGAAGGAGTCGCGTTGAGTCTGCTTAAGGAGATACAACTCGGCGTTCTTGACGTCACGTGCGAGTAGCGGACGCAAACCGGGACAGCCGATTGTGTCGGCCGCGCGTGTCTCGCGTTCTCTCAGGAGACGCGTGAATTGGAAAACACGTGCGGTTGTCCTTAGTAGGCGCCGCCAATCCGAAAACCGTTCTGAAGACAAAGCAACGCAATTAATATTAACAGCCTTTTCACTGGTTTTCATTTCTTCGTCTGTAGACGTGATTTGATCGGTTTCCCGAGGCCAAGCTTCCTCTACTTGATTTAAGAAAGAGGGGCCTAGCCACCATCTATCTAGAGAGACTGAATTAGAACGAGTGGCGTCGTCTGCCACATTTAGAGCTGAAGGTACCCAACGCCATTCGTCTACATGCGTCTGCTCTGCAATTTCGCCCAACCGGTGACTAACAAAGGCTTTGTATTTACGAGAGTCACTCCTCACCCAAGCAAGAACGGTCTTTGAATCACACCAAAATACCCTACGAGAAGCTTGGCCACGGTGTTCACTACATATCGTGCCAGCTAATCTCACACCAAGCAAGGCTGCCTGGAGCTCTAGTCGAGGGATGCTGGCTGACTTTAAGGGGGCTACTCTAGACTTGCTTCCGATCAGGGCGAGATGAGTGGTACCGTCGACAAATGTAAAGCGCCAGTACGCGACGCATGCATAAGCCACCTCGCTCGCATCTGTGAACACGTGAAGTTCTTGGGTTACACACTTTGCGATAAGTTTATACGAGCGAGGTATGCTTATGGGGTGAATCGACTTTATGCGACGGTACCACTCCTCCCACTGCTCTCGCTCTGAGGGAGGAAGCAGAGCGTCCCAAGAACTTACTAGCCGCCACGTTCTTTGAAACAGGATCTTACCTCGAGTCACTATGGGTTGTAAAAGTCCCAAAGGATCATAGACACGCATGAGGTCTCTAAGAACCTGACGCTTAGTAAATTTTGAAGGCAACGGAATGTCAATATCAATTTTAAAACCAAATGTGTCGTCTCGAGGATTCCAATGCATCCCCAAGACGCGCACATCTGCCTTTTTCTGTGCACCCCCATCTAAATTGAGGTCGACATCAGTGGTATTGGTTTTGTGTAATTCAACAGGGATAAATTTCAAAGCTTCAGGGGCGTTGGACACCCAGGATCGCATCTCAAAGCCACACTGCTGGTGCACAAATTGCACATCAGCTGCTAGACGCGCTGCTGTATCTAAATCATCGCAAGAACCCAAGAAATCATCCATGTAATGATCGCGAATAATAGACTCGGCAGCATTGGGATACTTATCCTGAAAGTCTTTAGCATTCCTATTTTTAATATAAATAGCCGTGAATGGGGAAGCTGATGCACCAAATATTAAAGATGACATCCTAAACTCCTTCAGCTGTCCATCCGGAGAATGCCAAATATACCGCTGGCAATCTCGATCCTCCTCCCGGATCTTAATTTGTGGAAACATCTCGCGTATATCGCCATTTAAAGCGATTTGACCCTCGCGAAACCTCATCAAAATGCCTAGCAAAGATTGTAGCATATCAGGCCCAGGGAGGATGAGCGAGTTGAGACTGACGCCCGAGGATGTAGCTGAAGCATCGTGCACTATCCTTAGCTTACCCGGCTTATTCGGGTTAGTCACCCCAAAATGGGGCAGATACCAGCGGCGCGACGACGAACTTGAGTTACCATGGCTGTCATTACATTCCTCCGCGTAACCTTTCTCAACATATGCTTCTATGTTCAGCCTGTATAATTCGGCGTACTCTTTATCTTTNCTTCATCGCAAGGTTTTAACATATTTTAAGTAAAATTTCCTCGATTTTTGTTAAGATTGAAGCAAGGATCACTCAATCCACATGCACATCGTAATGAAATGAAAGTCGACTTAGCACGCAGAAATTACGGCCGGTGGGGCAATAAGAATCTGGTATGGAGGCCATCAAACGCAGGGTGGGACGTCCCTGGACGTAAGCTGGTGGACAGATGACCTCATAAAGATTGCAGGAGTTCGCTTCCAACCGGCATTTCTGAAAATTATTGGGGAAGGCATATTATGTTCAGCAGTGGACGTCCTGCCTGTGACTGCAAATATGATGATGATATTGATGATAGCTTTTCTACATCGACAATTTGACTTGTAACACCTACGTGTAATACCCATGTTCGCAAAATAAAATTTGATTTGATTTGATTTGACAGCTGTTGGGGGAGAATGGTTCCCGAGCAACACTTCGACATGTTGTGACGAATCTTTATCTCACTCAGTGTGTCCACAGCCTAAAGAGTAAAGTAGGCCTCGTTAATCCTGATTTATTAAAATTAATATTCTACTAATTAGGAGTAATATAAAATAGACATTGAATATAAAAAATATCGATAATACGATAAGACTAATTAAACCCCAATTAATTTTAATCTAGAGTAACTTTTTCGCTCAGAGATTATCATAAAATTGAAATTGATATTTTTAGAAGAAGAGGTTGCTATGACATAATAATTATGTTCTATAACATAATTATTGCCTACAGTGAAAATGTGTTTTCATTTTGCCGATATCATAGATTTTAAATACAAACTTTTATCCCCTTACTTAGATCATATTTTAGATTGTTTTTGCCATTATTTAGTCCAGTCCATATTCCATGTCCCAAGTCTCAACTGACTTTACCAAAATTGGTTCAGCAACATAAGCGTGAAAACGTAACAGACAGAATTTCTCTTGTATGGTAAAATTAAGTAAAGTATCTTACTAAACTCCTGTCTCGTCGCTTACTTCGTGGTAAAATCAGACGCTCCCAACTACTCTCCAGAACCTCGCTTGCACATAATTGCCTCCAAGGAGGGGTATAAAATTGCGCCTAAAAGCAAACGGTAATAAAAAGGGAGAAAAAATACCGTTTACAGGGAAGCGTAAGTGCGGACACGAATTGGGTGGGGCTACACTTGCAGCGGGGAAATAATGGCGTTGAAAAAACATGCTCTGAGACTATAAAAGGTAGTTGTTTAGTCACTATTGAAGGGAAGAACGACAAAAATGCTCAAAAGTTCTTTATAAAAAAGACTTATCTGAATTTATGCCACACTTTTGTATGCATAAATCTCCTCCATCCTCAGTCCTAGGCTTCATCTCAATGTTCGTTCGTTTGATTCAGCCGAAAGACGTCCACTGTATCTCAGTGTATATTAATAAATTTTATGCAATTATAAAATTAAATCCTGTTAAAACTATGAGTAGGTAGGTACCTGAATAGTAATTACCTACCTTAATATTCCGTTTTTAATCACGTTGCTTCTCTAAATTCTCCTTTTTTTATTCAAGTAAGTGCCAGTGAAGTGTAGACATTCGCGCTACGCACGCTTTTAAAAAAGAGGACTAGAATTCACCAATGACGATATTATTGAAACACGCTGTAACCACCACCCTACCCAAAGCATCTTCCGCTGGAAAAACACAAGATTACTAACTTCGTAATGTACTCACAGTAAATTAATTTATTTTGTACGAAGACATGCTTCAAAGGCATGTCTCTATGGGGTAAATGGAAGGAATGCTATACAAAGAGTGCGCTTTTGTTCAGAGAAATAAACAATTTATTCCATCACACACAGTAAATTCTATTATATCTAGAATGTTTCAAAATTTACTAGACGACTGAAATCTACGAGCTTGGATTATATCGACATATTAAGTAGTTTTAATTAAGTCTTGTCAAAATAAATTAACAGCTGTTCAATATGTTAAATATTTCATTTCAACATTAATGGATATTTTTCCAAAATCATCCTTAAATAAAAACGACATTTCTTCCATCATGAATCATGATGGAGATTGCAATCTAATTAAGTAGATACTCGTATAAAAATACAGCCAAAGTAAACCTACTCCCCTAACTTAACAGTTAATAAAAATAAAGAAACCCTCCCACAAGCTCGTATTCCCACAGCTTTGATTGGAATCCAATTTGAATTTAAATAAGCACCTAACCCCGGGCGGTAAATTAATCTCGATTGGCAGAACGCCATCTGAACCGTCAAGTCTACTGAATGCCCTCCGAATGAAACAGTGAAAAGCCTACAATACGTCACCATCGACAGCTCATTCTCAATAGTCACGAAATAATAGCTCTCCAATTTTGCTACTTTCCTTAAATCACAGAAAACTCAACCATATTCTGACTCTGCATAAGACCAAAGCGCCTGCGGGACTCAAATAGCAAATACGCACAACGTGTCCAATGAAAATTGAGCTGGCACTATCCATGCAGGCGCTCTCCTTGATTGGAAGTTAAGTGCAGGCAGAAGGGCGAGGAAGATCAAGGCAAATTGGTTTTAAAGAGAAACACATCACACGTCAGCGGAATCGCAACGTTTCACGGGAACAAAGTGCATCTAGTTAAAACGGGAGGTACAATAGCGCCATCAATATTGGCCGCCCCCTCCCGGTTCAAAATGGCGACTGAGGGCCGTTGAAGGCTCGACACATTGCGGCTGATGAGGCGTTATTGATTATACTGGAAATTGGCGGGAAAAATCACCTGTTAGACTTTTGATTCGTGGCGAAATTCAAAGGAACATTGTACGAAAATTAGCGATACAGAGGTACTCGTGGTTACCATGAGCATTAATAAAATACTTTTTGTTGGTAAGGCACATGTACCTTCTTATACCTACAAAGCTTTATGATGTTTCGAACTGTAGATTTTTTTAAGTTATATTATCTGGGGGCACGGCAGTGCCCCCACCAAGTCGAGCAAAAAAGCGGCACGGCCGTACCATCCTTTTCTCGAAGCAATTCAGGCCATTTTCGACCGCCTGTAACTTCGTTGTGGATAAAACTAGAAGGCTGAATTTTCATTAGCTATGCAGGCATTGTAAAGACACGGTATATTTAAAATTTCATTCAATTTGAACCCGTAGTTTAAGAATTATAACGGGTCAAAGTTACTTAATTTTGTCACTCACTGACTCACTGACTCACTGACTCACTCACCGATCATCAAAATTCTAAGGCACTTCTAGCAGACCTAGAAGCTTCAAATTTGGAATATAAGTAGTGTTTGGTGTATGAATCAAGGAAAAACTAAAATATTTGGGGGCACGGTAGTGCAACCGCCAAGTCGAGTAAAATTTTTCAATTTCGGTCCAGTTTTCTAGATACATAACTGCTGTCTACAAAATACAAAAAGAAATGAGATTTGGGGGCACGGTAGTGCAACCGCCAAGTCGAGTAAAATTTTTCAATTTCGGTCCAGTTTTCTAGATACATAACTGCTGTCTACAAAATACAAAAAGAAATGAGATCCCATCAAAAACAATACTTGTCAAAAAAAACAAGTCTCGCAACTCAGTTGTTCTATGGTAAAAAGTTGTGAGATCCATGTAATACCAAGTCCAGGCCAGGAAATCTTTAACGTTTTACATAAATATTATTGACTTGGCCATCGCATGAAAACACGTGTAAATTAAATTATTTAGTGCGATGGCCAAGTCAATAATTTATGTAAAACGTTAAAGATTTCCTGGCCTGGACTTGGTATTACATGGATCTCACAACTTTTTACCGTAGAACAACTGAGTTGCGAGACTTGGTTTTTTTGACAAGTATTGTTTTTGATGGGATTTTATTTTATAGTAAGCAGTCAAAGGCATTTTTTCTATATTGAGACAAAAAAATGGCCCTTGCGGAAATCATTAGGAGAGGCCTATGTACAGCAGTGGACGTCCTATGGCTGAAATGATGACGATGATGATGGAGACAAAAATGTATAAGGATTTTTAAACTTCCATGTTTTCTCACGCTTCATTATTCTTTGCCATTGGGTAAAAAATTGCACTCAATGGATCCCAGCACGTTCTTTTTCCGCTTTGTCAGGTAAAGCTGACATTGTACTAAGTGCAGAATGCCCGGCATAGTGCATAACGCCGGCACAAAGTAGATAATATCAGAAGACAATCATCCTGTAGGTAGGTACTGCATTTTGCATACGCACACAGAAACGTCTCAAGAGGACGCATTCGCGGTCACACTGCCCCATAGACAAGCTGCACTTTTTGATCGAATCGAAAATCGAATCCGTCATAACTCCGTACAAAAAGAGGCCTTTCGACCATATTTCGACTGGTTTGCGGTTAAATTTGCACTTTGCAGACCCACTGGTTTAGACTGGTTTACAATTACTGGCGATATCGTGTCGGTGAACGTTGTCTATGTGTGCGTTACCCGAGCGCACTTTGTACAACCCGATCAAGTTAACTGCGCACCTGGCAGCCGTGACGTCACATCGACGCTCTGGTACAGACGCGAACACGGGAGGTGCGAGGGAGAGTCGCGTTCCAGCGAGTAATTAGATCGGGTTGTATCTAGATCACAGATCGCAGAAACTAAAGGGAGGTGTGAAAAGGGTCTATTCCACTTTGATCACCTGGCTTTGATGACCCAGGTGATCAAAGTCCACTTCCAGC